GTGCTGTTGGGCCTTTCTCACATCACTCTTGATTTCTAACCAAATCCAAAGAATAACAAACAGGGGGGGTCACCACCCAGGCTAGACTATGCTTAAAAAAACAGGACCAAGTGTAAAATGCCATCGTGGGGACTGGCTAGTGCATACTTGATCCAAGGGATGGTTGTTTCCGCTTAGATGCTTCTGGGGTGGCGATGGAGAAGGCCTTTGCCTTCATCTCTGAGATGGTCCCATCTGGGGTCCCACACTGTCTTTGCATGTTCCCCAGAAACTGAAGAGTGGATGGGGAGTAGGGCCTCATCCCTTCTATTCTGACTCCCTTCCTTCTGAATCAGGTTTGACAAAGCAGGTGACTATCTAGCTATAGGCGTTGTGTAGGGGGTTCTGGTTCCTTGACCCATTGCAGGACAAATCCAACACCTAAATTTTAGCAGGGTTTTCCTGTAACAAAAAAGCCAGTGAATGGCTATGGCTGTGTGACTTGAAAGATCTTCTCTGTCTATTCTCTCTCTCTAATAAAGGCTTGATCTAACACAGGATTGAGCTTTCTCTCAACTGGGCATCTTGCTTACATTAGACTTAAAAAAAGTCCAAACTAGGATACATCCCAGATCTCTGCAAATACCTGCAGTACAAACACCATCAGATGGTTAGTTGCCCCTGGCTGCTTTTGTAGTCAAGGGAGAAGAAGAGGCAGTTTGACACCACAGTTCATCTCATCCTAAGGAGGATGTCCAAAATAGGTGAGTCACAGAACCCTAGAATCACTCAGGTTGGAAAAGCCCCTCGGGATCACCGAGTCCAACCCTCAGCCCAACTCTACAAAGTTCTCCCCTACCCCACATCCCCCACAGCTCATCCCAACGGCCCTGAAACCCCCCCAGGGATGGGGACTCCCCCCTCCCTGGGCAGCCTGTTCCACTCTCGGACCACTCTTGCTGGGAAACATTTTCTCCTCCTGCCCAGCCTGACCCTCCCCTGGGGCAGTTTCCAGCCGTTCCCTCTTGTCCTGACCCTGATCCCCTGGGAGCAGAGCCCAGCCCCAGCCTCTCTGCAATGTCCTGTCAGGAGCTGCAGAGAGGGATGAGGGCTCCCCTCAGCCTCCTCCTCCTCACCCTGAACACTCCCAGCTCCTTCCCTGGTTCCTCACAGGGTTGATTCTCCAGCCCTTCCCCAGCCTCGTTGCCCTCCTCTGCCCTCGCTCCAGCCCCTCCAGATCTCTCTGGGATTGAGGTGCCCAGACCTGGACACAACCCTCCAGGTGTGGCCTCACGAGGGCAGAGCCCAGGGCTCTGTCACCTCCCTGTCCCTGCTGGCCACACCAGTGCTGACACAAGCCAGGAGGCCGTTGGCTTTCTTGGCCCCCCGGGCACCTGCTGGCTCCTGCTCAGCGGCTTGTCAGTGAGAACCCCCAGACCCTTCTCCCCCAGACAGCTCCAGCCACCCCTCCCTGAGCCTGTGGCCACACAGGGGGTTGTGGTGGCCCAAGGGCAGGACCTGGCACTTGGCCTTGTTGAAGCTCATCCTGTTAACATTGGCCACCGATCCATGAAGGCACAGATGTCTGAGACAATGAAAAGGAGACGAATCTTGTCCTATAAAGCACCTTTAAACACCTGGCCCACATCTCTGAGAAGCCTCCAGTTATGTTCTCTTGACAGGTCTTTGCTAAGGGAAGAGACACCCCGGCATAAACCACACAACCACCACCCAGGATCCCCGGACAAAGCAGCCTGACAGAGCTCTGCCGCACACCCGGCAAAAGATACAACCCCCACAAGAGTTATGTGGGCAATCAGGATTTCATCTCTTGTTGCACAACTAGCTGCTTAAAGAGTCTCATTAGCCACAGAAACTGTTAATTGGGTTAAAACTCCTGGCGACGGCATCCTGTGCTTGGGGATGTGCATCACAAACCCAAGAGTGAGATAAATTAGTCAGCTGATTAACAGACTGTAGAGATATCGGGGAGTTTGAGCTGGTTTAAAGAATCTCTGTAGATTATTCAAGCATGCAGAGATGGCTGACAACATTTGTCACGTGCATAGATCCTGTTATTGAAAATTATTGGTTATTTCATCATCTCAACACTGACGTGATAAATATTACTCCTATGTAACTAACATGAAAACTATTCTGCAGAGAGTTGCAGAGATGTGTGCAGGCTCACACAGACGCTGGTGACAGAGCCAGTACAGGGGGTTTTTTTTTTTTTTTTTTTTTTTTTTTTCAGCTGTCAAATTTACTTATCCTTAAAAAGTATAATCAGACAACAGCCAGTTAACAGTCTAAGTCAATGACAACTTCTTGAAAACTCATGTCAAACAGAAAAAAATGAGTCAAAACATTTTGATATTTTTAGTAGAAAACAGATCGCTTATCCATTTCTTTTTAATGTGACAGTTCATTTTGAAATGTATCTGAGTACTCCTTTTTTAATAAACTTCCATTCACTCTTAAATGGAAACAATATGTTTCACTTCAATTGAAAGCGATCTTCCTTGCTCATGAGTGCTTCACTTCCATTTAAAATGTGCATCAATATAATTTCCAGTTGGTCGCAAATTATTTCATTTAGCTAACAAGCAAATAAAAACCTCCATTCTACTTAACCGTTTACAATTTTCTTTTCAAGGAGAATTGCCCCAGCATGTTTCAGTTTGTGGATCTGCAGTGAACTTTGCTGATTCCTCTGAGTTTCAGACCTGTCTCCTGAGCTGTAAAATCAGATTAGACCTTGCAGAGATTTCTGTTCTCCTCTTAGATAGCATTGAATGATTCTCAGATTTGAAAAGGGAATTGCAATTAATAAAAGGGGGGGGTGTGAAATCAAAGGCGGCGTATTTTGTAGTTATAAAATAAATTAACTTTCGCTGTGTTTATATTATTCATATAATACAGCAGGAAGTAAAGATCAAAGCCATGTTTATAAAGAACTTGGCAAGTTGCATGCTCGGAGGAAGCAAATGGGTTCACAGGAGGTACTTAAAGAATGAAGTTTGGATTTTTAGCTGGTGTAAATCAGCATATCTCCTTTGACTTCAGTGCAAGGGTAGTGATTTACATCAGTGGAGAAGCTGGTTCAAAGGTTTCGAGGGAGAACAGATATGGCAAAACAAAATAAATTATTTTTTTTTCTACTGAAAAGTATTTGCCTGATGTTTGTTCTCTGTTTCAAAGTACTAGGAATAACTAAGAGGAACGGGATCCCGATTCCCAGCTGCATTAGCTGTAAGGTGTAAAGATGTGAGTGAGGTTTGGAGCTGGGTCCTGCCCTGCTGATCAGCCAAAGAGGAGAGTGTCAGACTGGGGCTGCCCAGAGAGCTCAGCCTTTGGATACTGGCATCTCCCTGAGTCTCACAATTCCCAAGTTATTTATTTGCAGGCTGCAAAAATCCCCCAATGCACCTGATCAATGAAAGGGAAACTGAGGCACGTTCAGACAGGATAATTCATCTTGAGTCCTGTAGTGAGAGAAGTTCACCGCAGCCTTACTGCTCCCTGCTTGAATTTTACCATCAACTCCCATGCTCACATAGGGTGAAAACTCTTCAGAGCAGCAGTTGTACCCCTATGGAGAGCTGAGAAAAACTCACCCAATACCACCCTCACCCAGAGAGAGAAGCTGAAGCAAAGACTGCAGCGTGGTGAGAACAGAGCCCCACAGCCCTGATCCACCACCCTAGGGACACCTCAGCTCCCAAGGCTCCTTCGGTCCTGGTGAATTATCCCACAGGAGGGCAGGTGGGGACTGAGTGACCTCAACTAGGTGTCTAACAGCCTTGGTCTCCAGCCATTGCCACAATGCTGGAGGGAGATCAGAACCTCAGCAGGTCAAAATCAGTCCTGTGGTCACGATGCTGTTTCCATTGACTTGAGAGGCAGCCTCAAGCAAGACGATTTGAAAAATCCTGACAAAAAGTGCCAAACTAGCTATAGTGCTTCCCTGGCTGCAGAGTGAGTTGGACACAAGACCTCGGTGGGCTATGGGAGATGTGGGTCCCACCCAGCAGATGGAGTGACAGACCTCTCTGCTTTGCTGAGCTCTGGGCAAAGGCCATCATCAATATTCAGAAGTTATTTTTTTTTTTTTTCCCTCTAGGTTTAGCTACATCACTCCAAAGGGTTAATCAGGTTCCCTGAGTTGGGGGCCTGTTGTTAGATGAGGTGGTGAGGAAGAGTGCTGCCTTTCCTGCACTTCATGGGCCATGGGTAGCATTGGTGCTTTGCACATCACACTTCCCCGCTGCATCCTTTTTACCCGGGCAAACAACTTGCCAAAACTTTAGAGCACAACCGGTCAGACAACCCCAAAGGAGCACTTGGTGACACGGGCACCATGGCAGGGCCAGGAGTTGATGGCACAACTCCTGGAGGAGGTGGATCAGCCTCGGGAAGTCACCTAGGACCATCACCCTTGTAGGTAAGATCTGGTCCTGCTCCAGGTCCCTGTACAACATTGGCATCCCCGTAAGTCCCCGAGGCTTACACTTCCGACTCTGACATGCTCCTTGGCGGGATCAAACCTCGCTCATCTCCAGCACCTTCACCAGTTGACAAGAGAGGTGGGAGCTCTGGGCCCATGGAGGCAGATCCAGGCACCCACCCCCAAACTGGAAGGAAGGAAGGCTAGGGGAAGAGGCAGCAAAGCTGTTTGGAGACCACTGTGGCCATAATTACAGCCTGTTTGAAACAGAGCTGCTGCTCTTTAGCCTGAGCTTCATTAATTAAACTGCTGAATGTAAAACAAATTAATTAAAGCAATTATTATGCTGCTATTTTATTCATTTGCTATTTACTTTGATTATATGACTCTGATTAATAAATATTGAATAAGTGTTAATTAATTGAATTAATTCACTGCTGGTTTATTCACCTATCAGTTCCCTATCCCTCACCTCTATGCATGAGTTGTGTCCTGAAAGTTTGTCCCAAGGAGCGGGTTCCCAGGGGCTCAGCCACGGGGCACTGGGGCTGGGATGGGGGACAGAGTCACTTACCAAAAGGCAGGACGAAGAAGAAGGGGAACCAGCAGAGAATGAAAACACCCACGACGATGGCGAGAGTCTTGGCTGCTTTTTTCTCACGAGAGAACTTGAGGAGCCGCACGGAGAGGGAGCTCCTGAAGTTGTGCCCCTTGCTCCTGGTGCTGGAGAGAGGCTCCTCCAGCACGCTGCGGCAGTGGATGCGCAGTACCACCTCCATGGATTTATTCCTCTCCTTCTTGACCCCGGCCTCCAAGCTCCGGGTGGTCCGCCTGGCCACCACGTAGATCCTGAAGTACATCACCAGGATGACCATGAGGGGCAGGTAGAAGGAGAAGAGGGAGGAGAACAAGGCATAGCCCGGCTCCTCCGTGATGCTACAGATGCTCTCATCCGGCGGCGGGGGCTCCTTCCATCCCAGCAGCGGACCGATGGAGATGACCATGGAGGAGAGCCAGACCACCACGAGGATGACCCCCGCTTTCCTCTCGGTCATGATCGTGGGGTACTTGAGGGAGTACTTGACGCCGATGTACCTGTCCACGGAGATGATGCACAGGCTCATGATGGAGGCAGAGCAGCACAGCACATCCACCGCTGCCCAGATGTTGCAGAAGATGCGCCCAAACACCCAGAAGCCCAACACCTCCAAGGTGGCCGAGAAGGGCAGCACCGTGGTGCTGAGCAGCAGGTCGGCGATGGCCAGGTTGACGATGAAGTAGTTGGTGACGGTCTGCAGGTGCCGGTTACACGCCACCGAGAGGATGACGAGGATGTTCCCCACGATGGCTGAGAGGATGAAGACGGCCAGGAAGACCCCGACGCCCACCGCCTGCACGTCCAAGGCGAAAGTCAGCGTGGTGCCGTTGCCCTCGGGGGTCTCCTCACCTTGCAGCCCCCAGGACCGGTTGGCACCGCTCTGGCTGCCTTGTCCCGTCCGGTTGGGCAGCAGAGCGCAGGGTTTGCCCGGCGGGTCCGTGTCCCCCCCTCGGGGGTCCGGGGATGCGCTGCTGGGGGGCGGGGGGGGAAACCCCGCAAGGGAGACAAACTGTGCCGTGGCTCCTGGCCCCAGCATCCCACCGGGAGGGTGCTCTGCAAGGATGGAAGGGTCCCCCCCAGTCCCAGTAACCCACCGAGAGGATGCTCTGCAAGGATGGAAGGGACCCCCAACCTCATCATCCCACCGGGAGGGTTCCCTGCACAGCTGGAAGGACCCCCCGGTCCCAGATCCCACCGTCAGGGTGCTCGGCAAGGCTGGAAGGTCCCCCCCGGTCCCAGCATCCCACCAGGAGGGTTCTCTGCAAGGCTGGAAGGGACCCCCAACCTCATCATCCCACCGGGAGGGTTCCCTGCACAGCTGGAAGGTCCCCCCCAGTCCCATTAACCCACCGGGAGGATGCTCTGCAAGGCTGGAAGGTCCCCCCCCCAGTCCCAGCATCCCACCGGGAGGGTTCCTTGCACAGCTGGAAGGTTCCCCCCGGTCCCAGCATCCCACCAGGAGGGTGCTCTGCAAGCGTGGCAGGTATCCTTTCCTGCCCCATACCCCGGGCTTCCATCAAGCATCCTTCCCATGCTGACCCTGGTCCTCCCACTCCCCTGCAAGCACGGGCTGCCCCTTGCCAGTTCCTTCCAGAACTAAAAAGTGACAATCAGGGTCTTGTATTCAGGGACAGCCTGTGGTCGGCAGCTCCTCGCCTGTGCTTTAACCCTGCTGCAAGACTTGGAAACGGCAGCTCGTGATTAAAACATATAGGCACATATTTCTGGCTGATTTAAACAGGGTTGTTTCTTTTTCCCACTGATAGAAGCAGATCCTGTTTACACTGGTTTCCTCCCAGTGACCCTACTCTCCTGCCTCCATACATTGCGATGGGGCCTGACCCCGGTGTTGAGCAGGGGCTCTCCCTCGGCTTCTTTCTACTGTACACAGGAAATATTTCCTTGTAGTGTGTTTATCCATGATTTTTCAACTTTCTTAATAAAATGATTTTAAAGGACAGTCCAAGTGGATGGTGTGGGGATTTAACTGTTGCTCTGTCAGACCATGGGAGATCTGTTGATTCATTGGATATGAGAGTAGACTAAAAAAAAAAAACAACCAACAAAACCCAGTAAATTTATTTCCCTATTTTTCTTGACAATCATGGCAGGAAATGAACACATTTTTCATCTTTCTTAATTCTTTTATGGACTTTTCTCTTCCTTAAGGTTTCACCCTCCTTCCTAGAGCTGGGTTTTTGACACTGCTGGGAACAAGCAAAGTAGAGCAACTGGAAAATACAAGTAAACAGGAACAAATACTGTAAAAGGAAAACGTTCAAAAAGATGGTCTTACTTAAAAAATCCCACTGAACGAATCCTTTACAATTTTTTTAAAATGTGAATTAAAACAAAACAAAACAAAACAAAACAAAAAAGCCCAGACACCCAACACTTGAGGTCAAATTACTCATTTTCCTTACATTTCGATGAAAACATGTCAACCACCAAAATGAAGTATTGTTTCTTACTGGGATGCTAAACTCAGCATGGGATGATCTCAACTCATGGAATTTTGTAGCTGTATCTTTTGCAGCTACACAGATTGCTGGCTAGATAAATATATCTCATCTAATCTCTCCAGTGACATACAGAGATAAAGAAATCATTTGCCTTGCTCCGGTTAGGGCTGGACTGGTCTTCTCATGTATGGTGGGATTTTAACCACCTTTTTGGTTAGAAAAGAAAGGTTTCTCCCAAATGACATGGTAGGGTGAAGATGGCATTTGCCCTTCATCTTGCCCTCTCTGGTTGAGCTTTCTTCCTCCTTCCCAACCTCTCCAAAGACAATTTGCCCACGTTGCTGGAAGGCTTGAGCTGGCACGGATCTCAGGGTTTGAATGGGGTGCGGGAATGGGATAGCTGGGCTGAACCTTCAATTTTTGGCGGGGGTAAGGCTGGGGGCTGCCACCTCGTGTGCTCCTCAGGACTGATGGACCTTCCCCATGCATGTACAAAACCTCTGGGGTTGTGCTGATGCTTTTCCCCTCCCAACCAGGGCAGGGAGAGAGCACGTCCCGTGCCATCGCTGCAGCTCAGCTAGCAAACATCAACTCATTAAGAACCAGTTACCTCATTGCTTTCCATCTGTCTCCTTGTTTCGGCCTAAACCAGGGCTATTACGGTTAATTTAAACTAATGAAGAACAGGTTTATGCTAACGCACTTAAACCTCAATAGAAATGTCTGGGTAGGTCTGCGTGGAGGAACTGAAGGGCTTGAAGTAAACACACATGGAGACCTGCGAGCACCTGGGACCTCGCCAATCTGTTGGGTTTGAGTTGGAAGGAGGTACAGCTCCTTACCCTCTTGACGTGTTACATCTCATTCCTCCCTCTTTTTTACCCTTTTTTACTCTTTTGGGGCAGAGTGAATCCTAGGACATGGGTAGGGCCATATAGTGGCGTGAATGGGGCTTTTTAAATAAAAGGAAAGACACACACACCTGGTAAACGAGTAATTACATGTTATGCCTGAGGCTTGAAAAGGACAAGCAAATTTTTGGTGCAGAAAAACACAGCTTAAAGGATTTTGATCAACATTTGCATGTACTCCAGGTTTATACAAGGCACCCCAAGGAGAGAGGTGCCTCTCCCTCTGCAAAGGAAGATTAGCTGCAGTGCAGCTGCCTGCAGCATCTCCGGGTCCAGAGCTGGGAGAGATGGATCCTGCTCACATTCAACACAGAATAGTGCTGGAATTTTAATATTTAATTGTTTATAAAGATGGGCAGGCGATTCAACGATCCTCTGGGAAGCCCGGATCAGTCTTCGCTGCGTGTCCCTCTGAGGCTGTATCCAGCTCTGGTGGCTCCTGTGTCCAAGCGTATTAAAAAATGATCTAGAAGCGATTGCAAGAGATGATTCAAAGCTGTGCTGCTGTCCTTTGTGGTGCCCAAAGTGGGGCTCTTCAGAAATTCCAGATAAGGGCAGTAATTGGGAGAGGTTAGCAGGCAAAACATGGACAGGACATTGCAAGAGAGCATTACAATTGTGGGAAATCTTTCCTATAATTGAGGTTAAGGGATGAGGGGTGGGCTGTGCTTAAATTATCCACCTTTGTTGGTGTTGCGATGGTGTTAATTTTGACTTTGGTGTGGAGAATTCTTTTTGTTGATGTGACGTTTGTGAAGAATGTCTATTTTAATAATATTGTTGTTGCGATTTTATTTGAAATCTAGGAAAAATCAGGCTACACTATGAATGTTTATGTCTTGATTAATGAGGCAAGAAGGATAAGGAGAGGAAATAGCTTCTATTAGCTGACTGATAAAGATGTGGGAAAAGAAAATCAGACAATCCGCTTATGCTGTCTACCTGAAATTGCTCAGACATACATTATACCTTCCCTTTTCCTTTGCCTTCCCACTCCCCCAGACCATCCCAGCCACCATCACATCAACCCCATTACTGCATTTACTACCTCCACCACTTTTCTCCTTTGGGTGTGAAGGTGTCCGCTTTGGGTTTCGTTTGTTTTTAGCTCTTTGCTACCCTGCTGCAGTTCTGGTGGCCATCAGCGGTCTCCAGGCCACAGGAGGGAAGGACAGTGGTGATCTGGCCCGAGCCCCTTTACTGAAGATATTTTTGTCCCTTCCAAACCCACCCCTCATGGTGGCTTTCTCCTCTTCCTGTCTTCTTGGTTAGAAAGTCTCCTCTGGCTTAGTCTAAACTTTCTTTGCTGTTATTTCATGGCTTGTTGCCAGCTGATGCGGAGAGTAATTTATTATCTTTCTCTTACAGGTCTTAATTTAAGTTTGGAGCAACTGAATAGAAAAAGGCAAAATAAATGGAAAAAGAGAAAAAAAGAAAGGAAGAGAAAAGTGTTATCAAGTTAATACTTCTTTCTGACCACTCTACGCAGTGAAAGTGCTTTTACAGAGTCTGGCTGCGATTAACAGTGAAGACTTGTAGGAACAGGAATGATTTTGGCTTTCTGAGTGCAAGAGCTGACACAACAAGTGGGGGAGCGAGGCTGAAGCCAACAGAAGCCCCTCTGACCTCAAACCAAGAGGTGGCATAAATCGAGGTGGCGAATCATCTTTCAGGCCATCAGCAGTAGGTGCCTGTAGACACGGGGCTATGGGCGTTTCAGGAGGAGAACGCTTCTACCCCAGATCTCAGACTGATGAGGTGGACAGGAGCCAAGGACAGAGGCCAGATTTGTTGTGTGCAAGGAGAACAGCTCTGAGTGCCATGCTGATATCTGGGCAGCCAGCGCTGGTGGGATAGAACAAGCAGATAAGTGTGGTTTCTAGGGCTGGTTGGACATGTTTGTTATTTCAGTGGGAATGTTGATGTGTTCAAAATGAAGCATTCCTCAGGGATGTTCTTTTTTTGTCTTTTGTTCTGTTAAGACCCGTATAATAAAATGCTTCAATACAAACCAGAACATTTTAGATCCACATTTCAAAAGACTTTTTTTTTTTTTTTTTTTTTTTGGGGGGGGGAATGAGCAAAACATAAGGTCAATTACTACAGAATTTACTAACAGAAATATCAACTAGTAGAAAAATTGCTAATAGTGATGCAAAAAGAGCAGTCACTGATGTATAGAATAAGATAAACAACAGCATAAATATAAATCACAGCATAGCTAAATATGTAAATAAAAATGCTACAAAAGGTCAAAATTGCAACGAAGGGTTTCTCCATTATCACATAAAAATATTTTTGTTGGCAGTTTTGATTCTTTGAGAAATTTAACTTCCCCCAAATATCAGCATTTATTTGCCATTACTGTATTTATCCCTACTGGTTAGAAATTCAGACCATCAGCTGCCTTAAAGGGGAGGAATGGTTAGAGCCCTGAACCAAAGCCTCCCCGGATTTGTGAAAACCTGCCTCTCATGGTTGACACTTGTGTTCATAATAAAAGTCCTGAGAAGCAGCTTTTGGAAAAGGATACCGAACTAGGACTTGGCCCACAAAGAGAAGTTGTCATCATGTCATCCCATCCCTGCAACCGTAAGATAATCGTAAAACTTGAGAAAATAGTTGTCCCAACAGCTGCTGCTTAAATAAACAGGGGATACAGG